TGGAAGCATATACCATGTTCATGGATAGAAAGAATTAACATAATTAAAATGTCCATACTATCCAAAGCAATCTATAGATTCAACACAATTATTATCAAGATACCAATGGCGTATTTCAGAGAACTTAAACAAATACTCCAAAAATTTATATGGAACCACAAAAGACCCTGAATAGACACAGCAATCTTGAGAAAGAAGAACAAAGTTGGAGGAATCATGCTACCTGATGTCAAACTATACTACAAAGCCATGGTAATCAAAACAATATGGTACAAAACATCACTAATCAGGGAAATGCAAATTAAAACCCCAAAGAGCTATCATCTCACACCTGTCAGAATGACTATCATCAATAAATCAACAAAACAGTGTTTTCGAGGATGCAGAGAAAAGGGAACCCTAGTGCACTGTTGGTGTGAATGCAAATTGGTGCGGCCACTGTGGAAAGCAGTATGAAGTTACCTCAAAAAGTTAAAAATGGATCTGTTTTAATACCCAGAAATTCCACTTCTGGGAATATATCTGAAGAATCTGAAAACACTGATTAGAAAGATATATGTGCCCTTATGTTCATTGCAGTGTTATTTACAATAGCCAAGATTTGGAAGCAGCCCAAATGCCCATCAGTAGATGAGTGAATAAAAAAAGCTGTGGTACATTTATACAATGGAATACTACCAGACGTAAAAAAGAAGGAAATCTTACCTTTTGTGACAGCGTGGATGGGCCTGGAGAGTATTATGCTAAGTGATAAGCCAGTCAGAGAAAGACAAGCACCATATGGTTTCACTTATATGTGGAATCTAATGAACAAAACAAAGTAACAAAGTGGAGGAGACAGACTCATGGATACAGAGAACAGAATGATGGCTGTCAGCGGGGTAGGGGTTAGGGGCTGAGTGAGAAGGGTGAAGGGATTGAGAAAAGAAAAAAAGAAAGACTCATGGACACAGACAACAGTATAGTGATTGCCAGAAGGAAGAGGGGATAGAGGGAGGTAGAAGAGGATAAAGTGGGGATGAATGATGGCAGAGGTGACTTGACTTTGTATGGTGAACACAATACAATATATAGATGATGTATTGTAGAATTGTATACCTGAAACTTATATAATCTTATTAACCAATGTTATCCCAAAAAATTCAATAAAAATAAATTTAAAAAAACTGGAAAAGAAAAATAAAATCATCTCTATTCAGAGAAGAGAAATTATTGTCTTTATAGAAAATTCAAAAGAATATATAAAAATAACGTATTAGAACTAATAAGAGTTTTGAAAAGTCAATTTTTAATCTGAAAAATCAATAGTATTTTTAATATACCAGTAATAAACACTGGGGAATCAAAATTCAAAAAAACTTACCAAATATAATAGGAGCTAAAACATTATATATTTAGTTGTAAGCTCAAGAAATATGTCTGAGATCTGAGTCTGAAAAACTAGAAAACAACTGTTATTAAATAAGACTTAAATAAGTTGGAAAATATACCCTGTCCATGGATTGGAAAACTAAATAGTGTTAAGATCTTAATTCTCTTCAAATTAATCTATAGATCCAAATAACATATTATTTTGTAGAAATGAACAACATGACTTGAAATTTTATATGGAAAGGCAAAGAAGCAGAATAACTAAAACAGTTATGAAAAAGAACAAGGTTGGGAGGACATATGCTACCTGATTTTCAGACATATTATATAGCTACAGTCATCTAGGATAAGCACATATATGAACAGAACTGGATAGATTGTTCAGAAATAGACTTACACATATACAGTCAATTGATTGTCAAATGATTCTGGAATAACTGGATATTCACTTGTAAAAAAATAAATAAGAACCTTGACCTGTATCATACTAATTAACACAATATGAACCATACAATAGTTTTAAATCTAAGAGTATGAAGCTTCTCAAATACAACAGAGAACAATTTGTGACCTTGAATTAGGCAAAAGTTAGTTAGGTACAAAAAAGCATGATCCACAAGAAAAAAAATTGATAACTGATAACTGGAGTATATAAAAACGTTTAAAGTATGATCTTTGAATAAAAAGCCCTGTTAGAAAAATTAAAAAGCCATCCACTTCCTTGGAAAAATTATTCAAAAAATTAAAAAGTATATTCCTTTATCTAATAAAGGATCTGAAGCAAAAATATATATAAAGAACTCTCAAAATTCAACAATAAGGAAGAAACCCAAATTTTAAAATGAGCAAGATATTTGAATAAACACTTTATTAAAGGAGCTATATGAATATCAAATAGGCAAATAGGATGAGGTTATATAAATCACCACAAATTGTATGAGGTCATGCAAATCACCATGTGAAGTCATGTGAGGAATCATCACATATTGGAATGGGTAAGATAAAAGAAAATAAAGAAAAAAATAAAGAAAAACTGGCCATACTAAGTACTGCTGAAAATGTGGAAGAACTGGAAAGCTCATATACTGCAGGTGGGAATACAAAATTATTCAATCTCTGAAAAGTGTTTGGCAATTTCTTTATACACTAACTGCATGACCCAGTAATCTCAAGAGAATCTAAGACATAAGTGCACACAAAAACCTGTGTGTGAATATTTATAGCTGCTTTATTCATAATGATCCTGAAAAGAAAATAAACTAAATATCCTTTAGCTGATGACTGGATTTAAAAGCTATGGTATCCTATATAATAAAAGGCTAATATGCAAATCGACTGAACAGCAGACCGACCGGTCGCTATGACACTCACTGACCATGAGGGGGCTCAATGCAGGAACTGCCCCCTGGTGATCAGTGTGCTCCCACAAGGGGAGTGCCGCTCAACCAGAAGGCGGGCTCACAGCTGGCGAGCACAGCAACAGTGGTGGGAGCCTCTCCCTCCTCCGCAGCAGTGCTAAGGATGTCCAACTGATGGCTTAGGCCCGCTCCCCATCAGTTAGACATCCCCCGAGGGCTCCTGGACTGTGAGCGTGCGCAGGCCGGGCTGAGGAACTCTCCCTCCCCCCACCACCCTGAGTGCATGATTTTCGTGCACTGGGCCTCTAGTATCTGTATAATGAAATCCCTCTTGACAATAAGAAGAAATGAACTACTGGTACACGTAACTATGAATGAATCTCAAATGACTTCTGCAAGATTTAGATTTTCTAAGGCTACATGGCATATAATTACATTATATGACATTCTGGAAAGAGCAAAACTCTAGAGACAGAAAATATATCAGTGGTTGCCAGGACCTGGGAGTTAGGGAAAGGGTTGACTTCAAAGAACACAAGGGTATATTTTTTTGTGTGGTGAGAAACTATTCTACATCTTGATTGTGGTAATTTACATGACCCCATGCTATTGTCAAAGTAGGAGAGGTCGATGGGGGGAAAGAGACATATGTGATACTTTCAACAATAAAGAATTTAAAAAACAAAACTCAGAACTATAAGCTAAAAGAGATGACTTTTCTTGCATGCAAAGTATACCTCAATAAGCCTGATTTTAATTTTTAAAAAGATTTTTAGAAAGCTGTTTGCTTGGAAAAAGATATAATAAGGGTCAGAGCCAAGTAAATGAGAAAAAAATTATATAAGAAGGAAGCACAACTACTTAATCCAGGATGGAAGGAACCCAAAGAGAGAAAAGGTTTTCAAAAAAGATGACACTCATAAATTAGGGTTAAGGTGCTTGCAAAAGATAGCTTCACCCTGGCCTGAGAAGTCATCATGAAACAAAGAAACACAGAGTATCTTAAGAGATAGAAATAATTTCCAGCTGCTCTATAGCTGAGGCAACTGAGACACGGAGAGTGGTAGGCAGAACTCTAAAGTGCGCCCACCCCATTCGGGTCCCCTGCAGTACACACCCAGTATAATCTCTTCCACTTGAGTGTGGGTGAGGCTTGTAAATATCATGGGAATTCACTCCCATGATTAGGGACTAGTCAATTGACTCTGAGTTCATCAAAAGGAAGTTTATCCTGGGTGAACCTGCCCTAATCAGATTAGCCTTTCAAGGAGGGTCTCCTGCAGTGCCGTGAACTGCTTATGGAGGAGGTAAAGACCTCTAGGAGCTAAGAGGTCTTAGCCAAGAGTTAGGGGGAAACAGGAACTGAATTATGCCCAAACCCAGTGATCTTGGAAAAGGACCCCAAACCCCAGGTCAGATCAAAGCCCCGAATAACACCTTGATTTCCTTTGGCAAGACTCTGAGCAGAGAACCAATGCCCAGACTTCTAATAAGATGATAAATGTTCCTTTAAGCCACTAGGTTCAAATTTGTCATATAGCAGTAGAAAACCAATTCAAAGAGTGAATTAAAATGTGCAAGCTAGTTTAATCAATGTGAATACTCTCATGGCTGTGACTCCAATAGTTCTTCACCCAGTAGTAACACAGTTTTAATGACTTGCACTGAATGGAAAAGCATCACAAAAGGTAACATCACAGAGAGAAGAGGTGAAGGCTAAGGGGATGACATCTCTGGAGAATACTCTCCCTCAATTCTGTTCAGTGGTGGCCAAGAGAGCCCAGCATAGACTAGTGAAGGGGCCCCTGGTCTTGTCTCATCGTACATAGTAACTCACTGATCCCACAGCCTTCCCTTCTCTACATCAAGGCCATGACTGCAATCATTCAAGTATTAACGCTCTCCTCTCTGGGCTTAACACTCTCACACAAGTCTCCAGGGCCAACAGTAACAACCAGGGCAGAATTCACTGGACTTTCTTAACACGTATTCTTAACACACTCACTTGTTAAGCTGGGCACAGGAAGTAACCACTCAACTTTACAACCATAAAAGAAACATGAATCATTCCTGAAGCATCTTTCCATATAGGTTAAAATAGATAGTAGGAGTCCCACCCCACCCTAAAGAATACTATTTGAATTACAGGTTGCAGTATCTTGCAAATTTAAAAGAATTACAATCTTAATTTTCATAACATTATTCGTTCTTTTACTCTATAAAGTTGTTCGTTTGAAAGGTCATATAATGAAAATAGCACAAATAACTTACCCTGTAACGTTTTAGTCTGATGAAATCAACCTTCATAGAGACATAGCTATCTGAACTTTGACTGATGTTCTATAAGATCCGCACAAAACCTGTAACCTCCTTTAAGCACACACACGATCCTAGGTTCACAGCATCCTACATCTTCAATAATATCCTAGCCAGATGCTCAATTCTGAAAGAAGGAATGAAAAGATATGCTAAAGCATAACTATTTCTGAATATTTTTGTTCCTTTTAGAAAAATGCATGATGTACTATACATATTAGATTACACAGGAAGATGTGGAGAAGAGCTTGGGAGACAGAAGCCTGCAGATAAAGCAGCTTTGTTCAAGTCTGACAAAGAGAGAGTGTTCAAAACATATTTCTGACAATTACATCATCAATGGCACATTGTTACTCCTCTGTGTCACAAAAATGATTAAGGTGTAAGCTATAAAGTCAAAGGTCATGGCTGTTGTTATTTTATCACCACAGAGGCTGGTGGCTAAGCTTAATGCTGTGATGGCATTTGCTGATAGTATGCTCACTTTATGGCATGGAGAAAGGAAATGGAGAATGACTCACCCACCTTGCAACATTAGAGACGGGAAGAAAAAACCCTTAGTAACTATCAAAAGAATAACATTTGCCTTATATTTCACAAAGATAACACATTACCTATGTGAAAGGTGCCCCAGCGTACAATTCCAGTAGGCACCATTTCCATGAAATGCAATGTGAATGACGCCTCTCAGAGTTATGCAAATGATGCAACCTTGGGTTGGTACCCAGTATTTAATTTGGAACTTTCATTGTATTTTCTTCTAATTGTTTCATGTCTAGAAGTCCACTGTTCATGCACCCATACAACATTAAAACCTACTGGCACCTCAAGTAGAATTAGATTTAAAACAAGCTGAATGATCTGAATATATATATATAAAACGTTATATTATGAATGATTGACATATGTTATGTAATTACATAATATATTTTATTTATTATATACATTTTTATCCCTCTTTTATTTTAAAAAATTATTTTAATTTAAAAAAATTTTAAATTACAGTTGACATGCAATATTGTATTAGTTTCAGGTATACAACATAGTGATCAGACATTTATATAACTTTCAAGGTGATCACCCTCATAAGTCTAGTATCCATCTGACATCATACATAGTTATTACAATATTATTGACTATATTCCCAATGTTGTCTTTTATATCCTTGTGACTGTTCTTATAACTAGCAATTTTTACTTCTTAAACCTGTCATTTTTAAAAATATATATATTTTATTGATTTTTTACAGAGAGGAAGGGAGAGGGATAGAGAGTTAGAAACATCAATGAGAGAGAAACATCGATCAGCTGCCTCCTGCACACACCCTACTGGGGATGTGCCCACAACCAAGGTACATGCCCTTGACGGGAATCGAACCTGGGACCTTTCAGTCCGCAGGCCGACGCTCTATCCACTGAGCCAAACCGATTAGGGCACCTGTCATTTTTTTTGATCCCATTATAAATGTTTTATATAGTGTGTGTATACACACCCAGATATACATATAAAATGTCAGCCATGGTTTCAGGTTCAAAATATGGTAACCAAAAAATGTACATCAGCATGCCAGATATTCTATAAAAAGGACATTTGTTTCCAGCATGATAGAATGAGGAGGTCAACATGTCCTTTCCACAAACAGCAACTATAAAGCTGTAAAAAACTATTAAAAACAACCACTTCACTCTGGAAATCAACCAAAGGCATATAACAAACTGAGAATCATTTATACATGAAAACATTGAACACTGGGTAGAAACAGAGCAAGTCTATGGATTCTTGCCCAAGAATGCTCCCATTGTGTTCCCTAGCTCCCCAACTCTGTTGCTCAACCAGGTAGCTCAACCAGGGTGAGGCACTGACAGAGGGAGCTTACCTGACATGTGAACAGGGAGGACTAATGACTCAATTTTTCAGTATTTGCAGTCCTGTTTGAGCAACTAACTGATTAGACCAGTCTGGGATTTGATAGGGAATTCCAGGGGATTGGAGTCATAGGAGAGAGCTACACAATAAACTCTTAGCATATCCCAAACTGGCCAGAGCTATGTGTACACACAGCAGAGTCTAGAGTGGGCCTAAGCTTCCTACATGTCCCTGGATGAGGGAGCCTGTAAGCATATTTGGAGGAAAACTAAGGAAGCCCAGGGGAATGTAAAAGGCAAGAAGACTTGAAAAAGGCTGGAAATCTGAATGTGTTTGCCAACCCTTACACACATTCATCAGCAGAGAGTGGAAGCCTTACTGGCTCAAAGTGTTTAAGTACAATTTCTAACTAATCTAAGCCTGAAGGCTAGGCTATTTAGACAGAGGGGTGAACCCTAGCAAGTGAGGCTTAAAAACAAGAAAAATAAACTGCACATCATCAAAGACCAAACATTGTGGGAGACATATATTTCACAGAGTGAAAGACCAAAAAAAAAAAAAAAAGGAGAACAAGCAATGAATAGAAAATAGTTACATATATGATAAATATTAAACTATAACAATAATCACTTTAAAAGTGAGTGGTCTATATACAACAATTAAAAAGCAAAAACTGTTAGAGTGGATAAAAAGCCAAGCGCTAATATATGTTATCTGCAATATACACACTTTAAACATAAAGACACAGACTAAAAGGATAAAGACATACCATGCTAACATTAATCAAAAGGAAGCTGGAGTTGTTATATTAATTTCAGGCAAAGCAGACTTCAGAGCAAGGAAATGACCAGGAATAAAGAGGAAAATTGTATAATAGAGAGGTCAATTCTCCAAGTAGACATAACAATCCTAACAGCAGTATCAAAACACTGACAGAACTGCAAGGAGAAATAGGTGAAGCACTATTGCAGTTGGAGACTTTAAAACCCCCCTCTCAGTAACTGACAGATCCAATAGGCACAAAACAAGTATGGATATAGTTGAACTGAACAATACCATAAACCAACTGGGTCTAATTGACATTTATAGAATTCTCCATCTAACATTCTTCTCAAAAGATATCAATAAGAAAATGAAAAGACAAGCCACAAACTGAGGGAATGTACTTGCAAATCATATCTTCTTCTATATATATATATATAAAACACTAATATGCAAATAGACTGAACGGCGGACAACTGAACAACCAAACAACCGGTTGCTATGATGTGTGCTGACCACCAGGGGGTGCATGTGGAACATGGCAGGCATCGGCAGCAGGTGGCAGAGTGCGGAACATGGCAAGCATCAGCTGTGGCGAGATGGTGGAGCAGGTGAGCGGGGGCGCCAGACCAAGGCAGGGCGCCGGTTGCTGTCATCGGGGAAAGCCTCTGGCGGTTACTAAAAATTCTTTGCTCCCGTGCACTGCTGTCCCACCAGCGCTTGCACCCGCTGCCAGCGCCCGGTGCCAGTCCCGATCGCTCGGCGCCATCAGTGGGTACAAGCAGCAGCTGCCACCAGCCCTGATTGCCACTGGAGGGCTTCTCCATCTCCCCCTGCTCCTGAGGGGCAATTGGGGCAGCAGCTGCCACTCACACCCACTGACGACACTGGCCCCGCTCACACCCGCTGCTGGCGCCGGCTCCAATTGCTCCGCTCTGTCAGCGGGTGTGAGCGGGCCGGCGCTGTCAGCGCATGGGAGTGGTGGCGGTGAGAGCGGGGCTGTCAGCAGACAGGGGCCACAGTGGGAGGGACTGGGTGGGGCACAGAGGATGGGCCGAGACCCGCCCTGTGCCCACTGCAGCCTGGTAGTCCACAGTTCCTTACAGGGTGCATGAATGCGTGCACTGGGCCCCTAGTATCTGATAAAGGACTTGCATCTAGAAAATATAAGGAAATCTTACAACTAACTCAGTAAGATGACAAACAACCCAAGTTAAAAGTTGGCAAAAGACTTAGGCATTTTTCCAAAGAAGACATATAATAGCTAACAAGCACACTAATCATTAGGAAAATGCAAATTAAAACCACAATGAGATACCCTTATATATCCACTAGAATGGCTATAATTAAAACAACTGACAATACCAAATGTTGGCAAGTGTGTGGAGAAACTGGAAACCTCATCATTGCTGGTAGAAATGTAAAATGGTACAGCCAATTTGGAAAATAATTGGCAGTTTTTCAAATTTACCATAAAACTCAGAATTCCACTGCAAGGAATCCATCTAAGAGAAATGACAAGATATTTCCACACAAAGAATGTTCATAGAAGCATTATTCATAACAGCAAAAAATTAGAAATCCAAATATCTATCAACTGGTGAATCAAAATTAAATATTGTATAGTTTAATTTATAAGAAATGCCCAGACAAGACAAATATATAGAGAAAAAGAAATCAGATTAGGTGATTGTCTAATGCTGAGGGTAGGAGCAGAGATTGAGCAAACAAACTTTTTGAAATAATAGAAATATTGCACTAGCCAGTTTGGCTCAGTGGATAGAGCATCGGCCTGCAGATTGAGGGTTCCTGGGTTCGATTACAGTCAAGGGCACATGCCCATATTGTGGGCTTGATCTCCAGTAGGGGGCGTGCAGGAGGCAGCCGATCAATGATTCTCTCTCACTGATGCTCCTATCTCTCTCCCTCTCCCTTCCACTTTGAAATCAATAAAAATATATTGAAAAATAATAATAAAAATATTATAAAATGATGCTAGTGATGGTTGCCCAATGCTAAAAATTTGCTTTAAAAAAATCATTAAATCATTTACCTACAGTGGGTAAATTCTGTAGTATGTAAATTATATCTTAATTAATTCATTTTAAAGGTTTGGATGGGCAATCCTGGGCCCCACCCTGGACCCCACCCCAGACCTTTGAACCAGAATTTCTGGATATAAAGCTTAAGAATGTACCTTTTAACAAGTTCACTGGGTGATTCTCCTGTACAGGGATCTGGCTTTGGATAACCTAACCAGAGCTCAATCATTTACTAGATCAGGTTGCAATTAATTTAAGTCATAAAATTCAGGTTAGAAAAGTAGGAATTTGTTTAAACCATGGGGTTTCCATCCTGGTGTTAAGAGAAATTCTTCTGAGAGTTATTAAGAGGTGACCAACTATAAAGATGCCCACAGTACAACAAAAGTTGGTTTAATTGTTAAATTCAAGGAAGTCCCCCCCCCCATAATTTCCATATATTTAAATATAAATTGTCAAAAGGAAGATTTAGCAATTTGGGAGATGCAAATTTCCGAAGTTTATTTGATCACAAAACCTTTTTTTCCTTCTGAAGATCAGCACTTGTATTTCAGAGAAAGCCATATTAGGCATGGGAAACCCCAAACTAGACCTTACTTTAATAATATGCTCAAGTTTGAGAGAGAACACACAATATCCAAGTCTTAGAATTTGAGTGAAAGAATGACGTTTCCTTACAGACAGAAGTAATCACCTAGCTTATTGCAAACTTTCTTTTGGCCGAGGACCTATTTCATAAAGTTAAATTTTAACTCAGAAGAATATAACACATGAAAAAGGAGGGGGCAGAAGTTTAAGTTTATGGTTTAAGGAGAGGTAGAGTGGGAGCCCAAAGCCTCCATTTGCTCCTACTTCCCTGTGCCTCCCCACCCTGATTTCTGGGTCTGGGAAGAACTTCTGTGATTCCTGGGAATGCACTGTAAAACCCACGGAGCTTGCTCTCCATATAAATGTGAAGGCTTACGAATGTAGAAATTAGAGGTACATGGAAATTTAACAGTCTGGGCGTTAAGGCCACTTTGTGAAAGGGGCCTGGCCTCTATTTAAACCTTGGCATTTTTGGTGGGCTGAACTGTATGGGGTCTCTCTGAAACCAAGGGCCAAACAGGGGTGACTTAGGGGCTTAGAACAGAGAGAAAATGTTGGCTTTAGGAAAGCCAGTCAGCTAGGAAGGAGTCAGAGGCTATCTATGGAGACAAATAAGAAAGAACTAGAAATAGTATTCCAGAGAGAATTCTGGGCAGATCTTTTTAAGCTGCAAACATACCTGTTCCCAGAACATTACCACTGGCTGGGAAATAAAATTGTGCACAGACTGGTTGACCTCTGATACATTACTTTCTCCGAAATAAATACAAGTTCTCAGGAAAAGCCAGGGCTTTAGGGGCGTGTCCTCTGAAGGCAAAGATCACCTCTTAACTCTCCCTGGTTAACTGGAGAGTCTACAAAATGTGAGGCAAAGGTACCTGGGTGAGAAGCAATGCTTTCCCAAGTTCCATTTTCATCAGTTTGTCTAGGACATTGTTATCTTGAGACTGTTACTTATAATGTAATACTTTATGTATGGTAGTATTTCCTCTGAACAAATGTCCAGGTAAACTGTTCAGGTAAAGCACAGATTGTTTGTGTTTCAAATTCTCTGCCCTGAAAAGTGCTGTCTACCACTGCATAAAAGAGATCCAGAAACAGGGTCTTAAATTGTATTGCATGATTCACTAAAGAGACAGTCCACCCAGTACAGGGCCAAGCCCAACAGAGGAAGTAACACTCACCGATCCACAATGATGCCATGAGGTATGAGGACATATTCCAAATCTCCATAATAGTGCTGTGGGTATGTAAATAAATTCAAGTCATACCCTGGCCAATCGTCCATAATCTGCAAATCAAATGATTTTGGTTATGGCATTTTTTTCATTGGAAATTTATTTTAAAACCATAAATAAACAAAAAAGTGTCATTAAAAAACAAAATAATACCCCAAACAGAAAGTAGTCCTATGATCAATATGGCATTAAATTATATTCTGTGAACCTATGAAAAGTTCAGTGGGACAAGGTAATTTTTCATTCAACTTGATAAAGGACCTAGTTGTGGGAAACTGATATAGGGTTAAGCCTCGGACTGACCTATTGGCAAAGTCACAAACAAGTCCCAGCTTAAAGGGCACAGTCCTCTTAGCATAATTAGGCTTGACCTTATAACACTCCCTAGATCTTATCTGGGAAGCTAATGGGCTGAGGAAGTGCAGGAAGTGTAACCATGGTCAAAACAAGTGAAACTCACAAGAACTGTGTAACTATGGTAACCACTACCTTGTTTACCTCTCACTATAAAAAGTTTGGTGAGGCCTGAGCACAGTGGAAGTCCTTCTCCTCGAATTGGACTTTTCTGCCTGGTCCCCCAATATTTCCAAATTATCTCGTGTCTTTTCTCTTTCATTTGTGTGCGGCTCCTCTTCCAGACCCAAACCCTGAATCACGCAGGACGTGGAGGGAAAAACTTATGATACCTAGTACTAAAGAACACAGAGTACATGTATAAAATACCTTAATTTATGCCTTAATTATAAATGTTATCATGACTATAACGTGTATTACTATAGTATTATATATACTATTACATTTCCAAGCATTGTGTAAGCCTCATTTGCCTGAGAAAGATTACCTATTAAAAATACATGTCTCCGGGGATTAGTGTAGACCCAAACTTCTGAGTCATCTAATCCTTCTTGTAAAGACTTCTACAGGACGTACTATGGTGGAAACTAAAGTCAGTCTTATTGGGAAACAGTTGCTCCAGGAAACTGGCCCATTCAGGTACTGGGAAGACTGCAAGCAAGTCTTCCTCTTGCTTAGGATAGGATGTGCAAGTTTTATGGTTAAAGTAGTAAAGTGAGAGAGAAAATGAAGGTGAAGATGTTACTTTTACTCTCAGATCTTTAGGAAAGGATGCAACACAACAGTTTGAATGCACCTCAAACCTACCATGCT